GTGATATGTAGGCCCTGCTGCCTAGCTAAGTAATGAAAGTTTTCTCTTCCTCTGTTTGTTCTGCAGTGGTATTGTGAATAAGGTGGCTGAGGTTTCAACCAGTCACTGTAGCTCTACCTTAAACAGCAGGCTGTGCAGACCTGAGTAGGGAAGTCATGTTTCCCCTGTGTGCTCTGAGAAACTGGTACTGCTCAGCTGGTTTCTACTAAAGGCACACTGTGCCAGGGTTTTTTTAAGGCCATTTGGCAGCTTTCACTGCAAGTTGGAGAAAGTTTATTCCTTTAAACTTGTTTTTGTACTGCTCACTGGATTCTTGTGAGGGCAAGGGAAGGGATTCCACAGTTGCATAGAGTAGGGTTTGTGAATTGAAGGCTCCATGTTTAACCTACATGTTACCAAAGTGTTCAGAACTCTGCAATATTCTTTTTTCTTGAAATGCTGATGACATGCTTTATTTATACAAAGTCAATATACTGTAATTGACCAAATACACTAATATGACATTTCATTTTGGGGAAGTGGGGGTCTAAAGTTATTTTGTTTTTAATCCTATATTTTAAACTAGCATTTACAGTGTTCCCTGCTGTAACTTTACAGTAGTGCTATGGCAGAGCAACTTTAGCAGTAAACTGAAGAAAAGAAACTTGGTTTTGCTGTAAATATAGTAGGTGCTTGAACACAAAAATATTTCTGACTATGTACACAATGTCTAATGCCAAGCATTTTATACAAAATTACTACAAGGAAGCTTCAAAGCCATTCTGTTGCAGAGTTTCAATCTCTGCCTTTTTTTTCTTGCTGGCAGTTCTCTGATTTGGTTAACTAGAAATTGCTAGATCTGTGTGGGATTTTTAAAAAAAATATTCTAAAATATTTGCAATTAGTTGCATAATGCTAAGCTAAAAGCAAGCAAAAAAGTCTATGAGCAACTGGATATGGAGCCTTCTGCCGGCCTAAGGACCCTGTCGTGTTAGCAGAGCAGAACCTTTGGCTCTCTGGTATCTACTGAGATCAAGTACAGATTTTTGAGCCATGGGTGAGAGTGATCTGTTCAAGGAGCTGCCTAGCAGACCTGCTTGAAGCAATTGCATGGAGAAAGAAGCTGCAGCTGGCAACTTTCCTGTTCACCACGCATAGCAGTTGCGAGAAAGCATTCTGACCACTATTTCTTCCTCCAGTAGGAGATCAGTAGTTATAAATAATTAAATGAAATGCTCTTCAGTTACAAAGCTGGCTTATACTGAGTCAGAAGACCCTTGGTCTGTCGAGGTCAGCATTGTCTACTTTGTCTGGCAGTGGGTTAGGGAGAAATGATTCACACCACCTCCAACCTGATCCTTTTAACCAGAGATTCTGGGGATTGAACCTAGGACTTCTTGCATGCCAAGGAGATTTTCTACTACTACACCACAGCCCCTGAGGCAGGGTGCAAGAGTGTCCAAGTGGTCTGTGCTTTCTGAATACTTACTTGAGTCTATGAGAAGCTTCTGCTCTTCATACTCCATTATGGAAATGGCAAATGCAGGAGCAGATATATAACTTTGTGCTGTGCATGTGGAACTCTGGATTGGGACCACAATTTGTCTTGGAAGCCACATACCAGCACTATCCAGGATTATGGTGTTGAAGACTGCTGTTGAAGAAGCTCTTATAAGGTTAATAGTCATCTGTAAATTACTCAAACAGCTGTAGCTGAAGAAAACAGCCTCAAGTACTTCAATGGAAACAGAGTATTGTAAGGGAAAGGAATGTGTAGGAAAGTACCATTATCCAGAACTTTAAAGTGACAACTCTTAATTGTGAATTTATTCTCTTAATTGTAGCTTAATATTTGTCTCCTGACATTCATTTAAAGGCAAGCTAAAGAAACAATAATGAAATATGATCAGAATAATTCTAGTATGTAAAAATTGATCTGCATTGACAGGATATTCCATTGCTTCTAAAAAGCTTTTTATTCTGTTACAAAATTGCCAGTTGTGCCTGTTCTTCCCTATTTTTCAAAGAGAAGAATGCTTTTAAAAAAAAACCTAAAAGGATTTTCTAGTGTTACAAATTAGAATATCCCATTTGGTGAAGATGTAATGTTGACATGTTTAATTTTGAACTTAAATATTACTACATAACATTTGAACATGAATTTTGTTCTTTTACATATGAGACAGAAGCCTTGTATAATCAGGAGAACTGCAGATGTAGCCTTTAGGCAGAACACATAAGAATGTCACCTGTACTCTGTACTGTCCTCTAGAACTGTGATTCTAATTTGAGGTTCTTTAAAAAGTCTCAAAATACTTTAACTAGTTCAGTGTTTTCCTAGTATTGGTTAAAAGAAATTTTCACATAATTGCTTGAATTTGGATTATGATTATTTAATCTATGCAATCATGCCAAGTATGTGTTCTGCAAGATATTTCAGATATATAAAGCCTTCTAGTTTTCTACTAAATATTTTTTTCCATTCCTGCACTTCATTTTTGAAAATTTCTTTATTTTGCTTTTATGGCTTCCCTTTTAAAATAGTGGCAGAGAAGTAACTGGCTTTCATTCAAATAGGTTTACATTTAGAAAATTTTGTAGATCAGTCTCTTGAAGAAAAAAAATTGTCCATTGTTAACTAGAATAATCAGCTTGAGCCTGATAATTTACCTTGTAGTATTTTGGTCCTATTTCTCTGCAAATTCCTTTGAAGATAAAATGTAGATTATGAAAGTACTTCAAAGATTATGGAGATCTTACAAGGATTGTTTTTACATTTACTCTTGTTACTGTGTTATAAAATGATTATCCGTAACTTAATACTACATCTTTAAAAGCAAACTGGAAACTAACTGAATAAATCCACACATTTGAACAGTATGCAATATTATGGAATGTTACTATAAATACAACAGATTAAAACTAATAAACTTATTTTACAGTGACAGCAATGCATGTGTCTTCTGAATTGAGTGCTGGTCCCATTTACTTGAAACTGTTAACTATAGTTTTTGAGATGAGACCATTGTATAAAGTTAGAACAGTTGGGAATTGCTAATGTAATATGAGTATATACGCCTTAATTCAGAAATAAGCCTAACTATATTAGTTGGCTTTCAGTTGTGGTTACATGGACACAGGATTTCAGCTTTAAGCAGCTCCCTTTCATCTGTTATAGTTCATCTGTTATCATTCAGAATGACACTGCTTAAGTTGATATGGTAAGCTTAACAAATTTTGGTGTATGCAGCAGTTTATACTGCAATTAAAAAATGATGTTTATCGTTTCCCTGTAACAGGGATATTACTACCAGGAAAAACGTCTACCTTTGAAAGGGATGTTCAGATTGAGTATTTAAAAGACAGAAATATGTGATTCTGGCTTGGATCTTCTGCTTCTGAAGAAGTGAGCGCTCCTGAGAGCTCATGCTCAAATAAATGCTAAGTCGTTGACATACCACTGGACTTCTGTTTTATTTGGCTATAATAGACTATCTGGCTGCACTCTGGATTTACCTAATATATATTCACTGCCTGGCAGCATTATTGTTCTGCCAGTGTCAATCTTACAGCTTCCATTCTTGCTTCAGTGCTATTGATAGCTTGTTAATAAAGGGGCCTTTCCATCCTTACTAAGGGCTCCAACAATCTTAGGGAGAACCTTTGATAGTGTGGTCAAGTATTGGGTGCAGGGGTTTTATAAATTGGATTACCTATGAAGTTTTATGATCTGTCATACAGTAAACAACATTAACATGCTTTAGTTACAAAAATATTAAATAATTGAGGCCAACATCCCCTATAATTATACCATTTTTCTAATCTATAGATGGGTACTTTCTAGAAGTTAGCTTTCTGCTGTTTGGGGACTTCTTTCTGTTCCAGCTCTCAGTTAGCTTCTTCAACAAGTTTTATGCTCTTTCACCAAAGAGGCAGCCCTATGCAAATGTATTTGAGTATATCCTATGGACTGTAGCAGCTTTTACCTCCACATTATTAGAAAATTTCTACATGCATACTACTATGATCTGTAGTATGCAGCTGGTACCTAGAAGTAAAACATGTTTGCATTTCTGTGTTGTAAAGATGATATGACTAACAGCATTTCTTATACAGGATAAATCATGTTGAAATTGCAACTGGAAACACTGCAGTCTAATCTTGGCCCTGAAGTGTTTGATGCTACAAAAAGTTAATATGGATGGGTTAGGGGCAGAAATGGGGTTCCATAATAAAGCAAAACAAGTAAAATACCCCAGGAAAGCCTAAAAGCATTGGATTCTTGT